GGGTTATGGATTGTTTTTTTTTTTTTTTTTTCCAAGGAGCAATAGCAGCGGGACAGTCTTGTTTTCTTTGTCTTCATTCGCTGTTGTTTGCATCTATGCACACATAGGACAGTCCCTCATCTGGATTCGAACACGGGTCGGGATTTCAACAGTTCATTGGTGTACCCACTGAGCTAGGTTCTTGGGTAGGGGCTTTGCTTTTGAGTTGTCCACGGCGGTTTCATTGACTCCAGCTTGTCCACGACTCAATTATGACTGGTGGCAACCCTCTTTCGGGATCAGAATTTTCAAACTCTTTGGGCCTCGCCACACCACTCTCGAATTGTATTGTGAAAACGACAAAAATGTGGCGGGTGCATCTGGCCATGTTCTCGCGGAAGTTCATTCTCATTTTGCACATTCCGAAAGTGGTGTGGCGATGCCCTTTCTTACCTCGTGTTTTCCTGTACCTAAACTCAAATTCAGCTACTACAGTCTCCTGCACCCTGGCTGCGCCCCCGCGCCCCGCACGGTTACAGTAGCAGTGTGACGTGAACCATGCCCAAATCCTCAAATCGGCCCTTCCCAATCCGCATATTTTGCAGATTTAGGGTTCGCAGTGTGAGTATGCCCTGAGGGTGACCACATAATTCTTTTTTTTTTTTTTTTTAAGAGAAATTAAAAAAAAGCAAACTAAATTATATCATACCCCTGTAGCCCTATTTACGCCCCCTCTTGTGAACCCCCCCCCGTATACCCCACAGACACCCTTGGTGCCATGCAGGAGGTTGTGGGTTCGAGCCCATAACCGCCTGCCGCGCACTGAGTGTCAACCAGTGACAAGAAAAAACACCGGGTCAGAGACGACGGTACCAGGGCCGATGTCGATTTATGCGTGTCATCCTTGCGCAGGGGCCATGCTAATCTTCTCTGTATCGCTCCAAGTTTAACGGATGTCCCGAAGGACGCAGGGCCGATGTCCCACTAGAAGCAGGCTTGGAATCCCGGGGTGGACGTCCCTCGAGAGCCTGCATGGGGCCGTGTTCGTGAGGTGCGAAAAATCGCAATTGCTCTGCTTTTCTGCATCTTCGCGTAAAAACGTGTCCACTTTCGGGCGCTTAATCGATTTTTTTTTGTTTTTGGGATCAGGTATTAAACTGATCAGAACAGATACTACACTTGATCTTAGCCAAAAGGCCGAGACGCACACCGTTCAGAACTTGAGAACCCCAATAAATTGATATTCAACTCACTCACCACCAAGAGGCGAGCGCTCGGAGTCTTACCAAGGAAAGACTGACGGCGGCAAAGTCTGACGGATGTGTGAACGAGACGCGCCTAGCGTGAAGTCTTCTAGAGGGCGCGTTGCATGCCTGGGAGTGGTTCGAGTGAAGTGGGAGTTTTTACCAGTGGCGGAGGCGTTCACTGTTCAGCTGTCGGTGTAGTGTGTCTTGCTTTCCGTTTCGAGGGTTCGGTCATTTCGGCGCCTCGGGCTTCTGCGCCAGCGCATCATGTTTGACTAGGCTCATCGGATCAAGGTCGTCTCTCGGTGGCATGCGCTTGACTGGCGCACGGGAAGGGCGGAGGACGTAACGTAATCTCTGTTTTAGGAGATCTGTTTCTGTGACGAAGATTGGATATTCCTCGCGGTGGACGTAAGTTGCTGTACAGCGCGGACAGTGTGTGTTTCTCATTGCGCCAAGTTGGCCATAGTTTTGGCTCTTCTACGGAAGTGGAAGAAGTAAAGAGGTAACGAGAACTTCGGCGAAGCATTCAAGGGGGCTGGTTGGGGTTTGGTCGGGTCTTACGGCACAGTGCCGTTGTCGATCGGGGCTGAGGGAAAGTGGCGGAAGGGGGAGCCAAGTGAGTGTCAGTTCCACACGCACACACACACACACACACACACAGAGAGAGAGAGAGAGAGAGAGAGAGAGAGATGGCGTCAGACAAGGCACGTGCTGGAGCAGAGCAGATGAAGGAGGCCGGGCGGGAAGGATACGTGGAAGGGAAGGGGTCTGCGCAGGAGAAGTACGAGCACGCAAAGGGGACTGTCGGCGCCAAGACGGAGGAAGCCAAACAGGCTATGGAGGAACAGAAGCAGCGAGCGGCAGAATCGATGCAGGAGCAGCAGGAGAAAGCCGCGGGCGCCATGCAAAGCCTGAAGGAGAAGGCAGGCGCAGCTATGGAGGGTCTGAAGGAGAAGGTCGGGATGGGAGGCGGAGGGGCAGGGGGCCAGTGAGGTAGGAAGTAGAAGCGTTGACTTCTGCTAGCCACGGGTCAACGAGATGGGTGAACGACATCGTCGTATTTGCCGCTACTTTTCGAAGTTAATGAACCTGTATTCATGATCTATTGGAGCGTCTTGATCTTCGTTGCGTGCAATGAGTCTTCCGTGTTAATGAACTTGGTCGCATTGGAGGTCAGAAGCAGATAAGCATGGGGTGAAGGGGGATGAATCCGGCCTGGAAAGGGGGATGATATACAGATATCTTCATACTGGACCTATTGAAGCGTTCCGGCCTGCGTTGCGTACAACGAGTCTTCCATGTTAATGAACTTGGTCGGTAGTGAAGGTCAGACGCAGGTAAGCAAGGATAGAGGGGTAAGTCATCGTGTCTGAATCCGGCCTGGAAAGGGGACGCTATACAGATATTATGTCCGTGATTTACTCAAGCGTCCTGATCATAAGAGTAGCTGTTTTGGCGCTTTGAGTTAGTGCCGCCATTCTTCTCCGCTCCCGCTGACGCAGCGCAGCACGCAGTGTTCTCCACGCAGTGTTCTCCTGGCCTGGCTCCCCTGCTCACGACGTACACACCCCGAAAATTAGGGCGTTGTATCTGTCCATGTTCCTACGGAAGATCCATTCTGGTTTTGCAGTTGGCGAGTGGTGTGTATATTAGCCATTTACATACCTAAGTGAATCTCTATCTTTTGTCGTGATCTGACTCGTTGACGTCAACCGGCGTGTGTGGTTGTTAGAAATCCGATTTGCTACAGAAGAATAATTTCTAGAGACTGTTGTAGTGAGAGAGAACAGAGCAAGAAAAAAAAGAGAGAGGCGCTTCCACCCTATTATAAAAATAAAATAAAAATGAAAAAAAACAACCTGTAACAGCAGTTGTTTATAGGTGGGGGGAAAAGAGTCTGGAGAGGGGCATCCTGGAGGATGAGCGTGTCGCAGATGTTGAGTGGTGGAGCGAGGCCCTTTGTATTACTAGCCTTAGGCCCTTATATACGTCGAGTGAAATCTCTGTCATGAATCTCTGTCATTTGTCGTGATCTGACGTGCTGACGGTGGACGACTTACAGTCACTCTTTATGAAGCCGTTAGGAGATGTCGATCCGCGTGCGCGTTGCCGCTGCGCTACAAGATTTTTTTTTTTTTTTTTTTTTTTGTTTTGAGTTCTAGCAACTGCCGTGCTGAAAGAGGACACGGATTTGGAGTCGTTGTCGAATTTGGAGTCGTTAAAAGAAGGGTATTCTTGTTTGGTTTCTAGCGTGCAGACTATGAGCAAATGATGTGTGCCTCTGGCTTTCTAGTGCATCAAGGAGAAAACAAATAATGTAAAAAGATATTCGTGTCGAGACAGTAAGAGCGCCCAAGGTATCGTACCCACTTCTGTGTCTCAAGTGGGATAATTGGTAGAAAGCAACCACGACTCCAAAATGTCAAACAAAACAAGAGGTGTCATGAATGAGGTCCGTTTGTCAAAGAGAATCAGCATATGATCTTATTTGAAGTTATTTCCATTGCGCTGTATTGTTTTTGGTCTTTTTCTTTTTCTTTTTTTTCTCCCCGCTTATTTGGTTTATTTTTCAGCTTTCTCCAACGAGATTGCAAACAACAGATGTCTATTTCTTTTCCGTTTGTATAGAAACAGTGTCATATGATGTCGTTTCCATTGTGCCTTTTTTTTTTTTTTTTGGCGTCTGATTTGTGTTACGTCTTTCCCGTTTTTGTAAGGAAAGTAGATATAAGATGTTTGGATGCTTGTGACAGCGGGAGAATCCTCTGGATGAATCTATGGTAACGATTAATTTGTGTACTAAATAAATATTATTCTCATTTTGCACATTTCCCGACTTGTGGAGTGCCGCTATTTTTCTCAAATGTCTCCACTCTCTGGAGGCTGTTGAGGAAGACATGTAAATCTGTTGTTTGGAATTGTTGGATTATGTAGAATCGAAATGGGATGGCGTTCCTTTTCCATTTTGTAGATTGTGTAGAATTTTCGTTTTCTTGAAAGGGGGAACAAATACACAGCTGAGGAACGTGATTTTATGTCAAATGAAGGAGTTAGGTGGCCGACGATTGGTGTGTATAAAGTTTCGTTTGTTCTGATATTACGTGTTGTGGAATGTGCGCCTTGAATTGAAAAAAAAAAAGCCAAAAAAGCTGGTTCCCACACAAAGGCACTAGCACGGTGGAGGCACTGGGCTCTTTAAGAAAAGAAGAAAAAAAAACGAAATATTGTTGAGAAGTATGTGTCCGAAGAAATTGCAAAAAAGCATTAAATTAGCTACCTTTAGGTGGTGGCAGCAATACACAAGCACGTGGGTATGGATGTCGTTGTGCAAATCTTTGGGAGATGCATGGAGGTATTGTAATCATCGACTGAGTCAGAACATATTAAAAAATTAGCGCGGAGTTATCTATGTTGGTGAAACTCCTACTAAACAGATTGTCACAGCCGCTCGTTTGTTTGTTGTCCTTTTCTCCCTCCCTCTCCTCTCTGCCTAGGGTTGGTTTACCGGGCAGCTCTGCTTGAAGATATGTATGGTGTGGGTGAGTGATAGTCTGCTTTGATTTTCGTGGCAGGTACCTTGAGGGCAGTGGTTGGTGGTCCCCACTTCAGAGAACTGCCATTTCGTCGAAATGGACTGTGTTTATTTTTTGAACGAAATTGAAGCCAAGTTCTTTGGCTGAAAACAAGTCCAATTTTTTTTTGGCTGAAAACAGGTCGAAATTTTTGCGGCCGTCGGGTCTGCCATTCTTAAAACGCCGGACCCCATGGATGTATGTGTACTTATCTGGAGACCAAATACATCCAGGGGTCCAGCGTTTTAAGAACGCTGGACCCTCAGGAGGCAAAAATTAGGACCTGTTTTTGGTCAAAAGAGTCGGTTTCAATATACATATGCCATCCGGGCCGCCCGTGTCGCCTTGTTTGCCCGGGTGGCCCGGCTGTGCAAGGGCCAAAGTGGGTCCCAGCCCAAAATAAATAAATAAATAAATAAGATGCAATCATACTCGAATTCACACTTCATCATGCTTGCAAACAGCGATACAGCCAACTGGGGACATGCGCCCACACAGTACCCAAAGATATCGTAACCAGACGCCCATACAACTCACTGTTCACACTCGAGATCACCCTGGATGTCCCACACGCGACACTCTAATGTTCATACACAACACACACACACTAGGCTATGGCTATGGCAGCGCTAGCTGCCACTACCCTATCGCTACACTACACTTCTCTGCCCACTTCGTCTTCGGGCACTCTGCAGACCTCCTCGCACAAGCTGCTGAGGCAGCGCTTCCGCATGGCATCCGCAGGAATGAATGAATGGCTGGACGCAGCCTCTTGATTTATACTTCTGCGCTGCGTTGGTCTGCCCTGTATCCTTGGCACATGGTGCACACAGTGCCCCCCGTGGTACTTGCTGGACCGGACTGGTACTTTCTAGACTCTCCCTTGACTGCATGGCGACGACCCTACGACGCAGTGCAGTTGCACTGGGGTCCTGTTGTTTGACCTCGCCACTTGTCCTCGTCTACAACGTGGGCTTGCTTTAGTCACACCACTTGGCCACTTGCCTGCACCACTTGACCACTTGCCCACCTTCTAGAAGGACTGCAGCTAGACTTCTAATCTACAGGTCTACAGATCGAATCCTGGCTACCTATAGACCTACGACAGACCTAACTACCACTGGCGTTTCTACAGGTCGCAGGTTCAATTCTTCGAGTTGACACAGGTATTGTACACAGGTAAGTTGGGGAACTAAGGGATCGAGCTCTGGGATCTGCATCAGCTACTTCGAACTGGTGAATACCGTTTCAAAGAGTAATAATAAAAGAAAATGAGAAAAAGCTATGTTACTCAGAAAATTAAACTGGAAAACTTTTGCCTCAAGGTGACATCGAAATTCCTCACCACATTGGAAATGGAAAATAAAGTTAAAAAATGTTTTAGTTTTTTTGTATTTTTTTCTTTTTGGCCCAGCCGGGCAAGTGGTCCCGGGCCACTCTGGTAGCCTCGTTTATATATATGGGATGGTTCGTGCTAGCCGTCCTGCAGAATGCTGTGCTGGCGCAGCTCTCCTTGGGAATCCTTGTGAACATCCACATCATCCTCACCGTAGCTGTCCTATCTGCCGAGGTGGGGACAGGTAAAGAAAAAAAGAAGAAAAGAAAAAAAGAAAAAAAGAGAAAAAAAGAAAAAGGACACGTTGATCTGTGGGATGTGTTATTTGCTTTGTGATAATTGGATTATCTTTTCTTTCCCTATCTTTCTTTCCCTGTCAGGTTTGGTTTCCTCCTCCTTTTCTTTACCTCTTTGCTTTTGGCTGCGTGCAAGTGGGTCCTTGTGACACAGGGGGATGGGGCCAGCCAGCGCTCAACCTGTCATCCACGTGGCTGGCCTTGTATGTAAGAGGTTATGAACAGGTGGAACTTTCCTTACCTCTTCCCCTTCCCCTTTTTCCCTTTTCCTTTTTTCTTTCCCCTTTTTTTTTTTTTCCGCTTCCGCCCTCTGATTCACAATGTGACAATATATATATCGGTTGTTGTCCTCTTCTCTCTCTCTGCCTACGGTTTACCGGGCAGTTCTATTTGTGATGATATATATATATGTATATATGGAAATAAATAATAATAAAAAATTATTCGTGTCAGCACCATTATCAATCCATAGCGACTGCCGCCGTATGTGCGGAGGGGTGTCTAACATTTCCTCATTGTGCACATCCCTATCAACCAGATGTACGTTGTCCTCTGTTCCCAAGGACGCTATCAGAACTGCATGATGCCGCACTGTGACAAACATCCTGCTGTTTTCTTGACATGTGGGCAACATGTCCTCTGTCGGGATTTGTTTCGATGGGATGGTTCGTGATAGCCATCCGGCTGAATGCTGTACTAGCGCAACGCTCGTTGGGTATCCCTGTGAACATCCCCGTCATCGTCACCGTAGTTGTCCTATCTGCCGAGGGCGGCGAGGGGGTGACAGATGAAGTGTAGAAGAAACAGATGAAAAAAGAAACCGAGTAAAGAGATGAAAAATAAGTAAATCTTAAAGGAAAAACACAAAAAAGGAAACCTGAGGAAAAAGAAAAAAGAA